CAGGCATCATCGGCCAGTCGCAACGTGGCGACACCGTTCAGCCGACCAGCTCACGGGTCATTCCGCCCACCGGGGACTTTGGCGGCCTGCCGGAGCAGAGCCATCGTCAGCAGCAGCAGCAGCAGCAGCAGCAGCAAACTACAAGTAAACAAAGCAAAGCAAACATGGCTCTCTTTGGTTTACCAATTTCTATTTCTCTCTTGTCCTACTACAGGCATCATCGGCCTCTCCCACCGCGGCGGCACCAGCCTGCCGATCAGCACCAGCGCCGCCCCGGCGCCGCCCTTCAGCGCGAAGGCCGCCGCCGCCGACAAGGTGATCGACCTGGTGGCCAACTACGTGCACGTCAACTTCAAGCCGGACATCATCGTCCACCAGTACCACGTCGACTTCACGCCGAAGGTGGCCAACGTGGAGACGCGCGCCCGCCTGGTCGCCGACACTGTCGGGCCGCTCTTCAACCAGGTGTACCTCTACGACAAGCAGCACACGGTAATGTCCCCGGCGGACATTCCCGACGGCGGCGGCGACGGAGGGATCACCTTCCGCAGGGAACTTCGCCCCGGCCGCCCGCCCGTTGAGCTGAAGTTCCGCCGTACACGGGAGCTGAGCGTCGACGACGAGCAGATGTTCCACTGTCTGAACATGCAGCTGCGCGACAACATGGAGCGCATGGAGCAGGTGCAGATCCTCCGCCACTACTACGACATGCAGAAGCGACAGGAGATCGCCGGCCAGGCGCTGGAGGTCATTCCCGGCATCGTCAACAGCATCAAGAACTGCCAGGCGGGCCTGCTCATGAGCCTCGACACCATCCACAAGGTGCTCCACAAGCGAACGGTGCTGGACATTATCAAGGTAGGGAGGAGAGGGGAAATTACTGTTAGGGGGTACATACTTTCAATTCTCATTTGGCCCTTTTCTTTGCATTCAGAACATCGACCGACGAAGCCTTCCCGGCCCTAATAAGCCCTACGAACGCGAGCTGGTCGGCTCCATCGTGATGACGCTCTACAACAACCGCACCTACCGCATCTGCGGCGTCGACCGCGACAAGACCCCCCTGCACGCCTTCAACCGCGGCAGCAACACCAACCCCGCCGACCAGACCTCCCTGGTCGATTACTACCAGAACACCTACAACATCACCATTGCCGATCTCCGCCAGCCGCTGCTCATCGCCACGCCGTCCAACTTTGAGCGCAAGCAAAAGTCGAAGCGCCTGTTTATGGTTCCCGAGCTGTGCTACATCACCGGCCTGACGCCCAACATGCAGTCGGACTACAATCTGAAGCGGGTGCTAGTGCAGAGTACGCAGCTGTCGCCGGAGGCTCGCGTCCGCCGCTACAATGACTTCCTCACGCGGCTGAACACCAGCGCCCCGGTCAGGGACTCCCTCGCCGGCTGGGGCATGGCCTACGGCGGCGANGGCCGCGGCCGGGGCGGCTCTGGCTCCTCCTCTTCCAATGAGGTGCCCTTCGCACAGCAGTCGGCGGACTTTACCCGGGAGATCAAGGGCCGGACGATGTACCGCAGCTGCACACTGACCAAGTGGCATGTGGTCTTCAATGGCGACCGCAGCCAGAACAGCATGAACTCCGGCGGGGCGGATGCGGTCAATCACTTTCTGAGAGTTCACGCAGCCCAACTGGCTCAGGAGTTGGGTAAGCTGCTGTTGTGGTTGTGGTTGTTGTTGTGGTTGTTGTGGCTGTTCTAAATTGCTGACTCTAACCCGTTCTTCTTAGGCATGCGCTACGCCCCGCCCGCGTTGATGCCCACCGAGGACGAGTCGGCGATGAGCTTCCTCAGCGTCATTCGCAGCATCGGCGAGGACTCGCAGCTGATCTTGGTGGTGCTGCCCACCAATCGCAAGAACACTTACGACGACGTGAAGCGGCACCTGTGCTGCACGGAGGGCGTCCCCTCGCAGTGCGTCCTCGCGAAGACGCTCTTCAAGCGGAACATGTCCATCAGCAGCAAGATCATGATTCAGATTGCCTGCAAGGTGGGCGCAGAGCCCTGGGTGCTCAACACGGACGCGCTGGTAAGAGGAGAGAGGCACTTGCAAAGTTGTAGAATCGTTTTATTCAGTCGCATGTTTTTTGGTATTCCTTCCTTTTTAGCCCACAGGTCTGATGATCATCGGCATCGACGTTTGTCGCGACAAGACGAAGCGCAAAAAGTCCGTCGACGGCTTTGTCGCCTCGCTCAACCGGTCCTTCTCCTCCTGGTTCAACAAGATCAGCTACCACCAGAATGTGGACGACACCAGTGACCACCTGAACATCAATCTCGGAGGTAAGTGATAAGTGCTGATTAGTTCGGATGATGATAACAACTTTTTTATTATCACCTCCTATTTCAGCCGCCCTGCGAGCGTACAAGAAGCGCAACGAAGGCAAGGCTCCGGACAAGATACTGGTGTTGCGAGACGGCATCAGCGAGGGTCAGTACCGGAACGTCCTGGAGACGGAGCTGCAGCAGCTGAAGGTCCGCGCCAGACAGGAGAACCCGGCGACAAAGCTGACGATGATCTGCATCAGCAAGCGCATCAACACGCGCTTCTTCGACGTCAGCCGCGGCGGCGACCGCCCGGCGAACCCCGTCTCCGGCACGGTGGTGGACAACAGCATCGTCTCGGCGAACATTCCCCAGTTCTTCCTCGTCTCGCAGCTGACCAATCAGGGCACCGTCTCGCCCACCTCCTACGACGTCATCTACGACGACATGGGCTGGCCACTGGTCGAGTACCAGCGGCTGATGTACAAGCTCTGCCACCTCTACTACAACTGGACCGTAAGTGAAAGTTGTGGAAATAGTGATAAGCCTTTTGTCTAACCTCTTTTCTCTTTTCTCCTCTAGGGCCTCGTCTCGGTGCCCTCGCCCATTCAGTACGCCCACAAGCTGGCGTACCTCGCCGCCGGCAGCTTTGGCGAGAGCAACTTTCGCGAAGACAAGCTTTCGGAGCAGCTTTTCTACTTGTAGAGGAAGAAGAAGAACAGCAGCAGCCAGCATCCGCAGAAGACAGCTTTCTTTTAAAAACAATTCCTTCGTGTTACATCTTTTAAAAACTAAATAAAAACTAGTTCCTGTTTTAGCTTGTTCTTCTGCTGTTTGAAGCATTTTTTTGTGGTTTTAGATCTTATCCTTAACTGATGATCAAAACTTTGAGAGAGAATCAAAATTTTTGAAAAGGTTTCCAAATGAGCTTTCTCTGGCCACTGCTAGGCAGCGCCACCGGCACCTCTTTTTTTCCATTTTGTTGGCTCGCCTTTGTGCTGTGTTTTGAGAAACGTGCTGACGCTGGCTCAAACCAGACCGAAGAGAGAACTTCTATTTTCCCTATCTCTCTCTCTCTATTTCGAAGCTGTCATTAGCTCCTTCCTTTCAGAAAGAAGCCACTTCGAACTCATCCTCATACTTTCCGATTCGATCACCTTCATCATCTCCCCAACAACTGCTCCTCTACGGTTCAGTGGAGATAGTCATAGTGATCACACCGGTAATCACCTGCAAAGAGCAAGCGCTTTCCTTCGCTCAACAGTCTTTGTCTTCAAAGGCCGACCTCGTCGTTTCGAGTGCCTGTTGTGAGCTCGGAGAACTCTTCACTCTTTCTTTACCTTTGGAAAAAGAGAATTGTGGGGTAGCTCTTCGACTTCACCAACAGGTTCACTCTAGCTAAACACTCACTCGAACTTGTGTTCCAAATCCCNCTCATCCTCATACTTTCCGATTCGATCACCTTCATCATCTCCCCAACAACTGCTCCTCTACGGTTCAGTGGAGATAGTCATAGTGATCACACCGGTAATCACCTGCAAAGAGCAAGCGCTTTCCTTCGCTCAACTGTCTTTGTCTTCAAAGGCCGACCTCGTCGTTTCGAGTGCCTGTTGTGAGCTCGGAGAACTCTTCACTCTTTCTTTACCTTTGGAAAAAGAGAATTGTGGGGTAGCTCTTCGATTTCACCAACGGGTTCACTCTAGCTATACATTCACTCGAACTTGTGTTCCAATTCCTTTTACCTATCTTTTCCACCATGGCCGACTTTGCCAAGGCCGCCCTGAACATCTGGTGCGGCAAGAAGAAGCTGAAAGTCAACTACGAAGTGACCGATGCCTCTCGGCCGGGTGACAATGCGCCCAACTTTCGCTGCGAGGTAAGAGACCCATCATTTCGAAATTCAATTTTCATTTTCTTTTCGAAATTCACCCTGCTAGATCACCATCGACACGATCAGCTTCGTGTCGACGGGCATGGCCACGAACAAGAAGGCGGCCAACAACCAGGCCGCCCTAGCAATGCTCGCCTGGCTCGTCAACAGCAAGTACCTCACCCGAGGCGAACTAATGGATCCCTGCTATACAGTGCTGAAGGTTAACGACGTCCTCTTTCCGGGCGGGAAGCCCATTTCCATGGACGGCTTCACCGGCTACCAGGCGGAGAAGAGTAAAGTCGAACCGGTGGCGCCGATGGTGAACACCCTCACGGGGCACGTCTTCTCAGTCACAGCCGCAGCGAGCGGCTCATCCTCATCCGCATACAATGCAAACAAAGATGACTGGTGGAACATGGACGTCGACGAAACGAGTCAGCCTTCTCTGCCGGAGATTCCCAAAGCTGCGCCACTTCCACCGGCGCTTTTTGGCGGCCCTGACGTAGATATGGCCGACCCGTACAACTCCGTCTACTGGTCCTCTTCCATGTCCGCTGACAGCGGTCTGGGAAACCTATCTTCAGCTACTTCTAATTTAAATATATCTTCCTCTCAATCCACTTCCTCAGCAGCGGCCAGTCAGCGAAGTCCTTCAGTGGCCAGCTCGGTTTCCACGCAGTCGGCTGGAACCAGCAGTGGACAGCCTCAAAATGGAAATGGAGGAAGTGGTAATCGAGGAGGAGGAGGAGGAGGAGGAAGAGGTAGTAATCGGGGAGGGAGAGGAGGAGGAAATCGAGAAGGAGGCGGAGGCGGAGGACGGTCGGTCGCAGAGTGGGCCGCCGAGGGTGAGAACCACTACAGCAACAATCGCGTGGGGAGGTACTTTAACGAGCCACTACCGCCACAGGCATATCCGCCTCGGTCCCGGTACAGGGCACCACTACTTCCACCTCAGGGTGATCCTTACTTTCACCCTGATCAACATTACCCGCATCACCCTCCTCCTCCTCCTCCTCCACACTTTCAATATCCGCCGCCGCCACCACCACCACCTCCAAACGGTTACTCTCGGTACAAGGCCCCTCCTCCTCCTCATCCGCAACATTATCAGCAGCAGAACAGACCTCCACCGAACATCACTCCCAACGTCCAAACGCTGGACTTCTCCAAGCCGAACAAGCAGACGGTGCCCGAGGAGGCCGGACCGGGGAACTTTACGCTGGACAATGCGAAGCAGCTGCTGAACCAGTTTATGCAGATTCACCGCATCAAGGCCGACTACGAGTATGAGAGTCGCGGGCCGGCGCATCGCAAGTACGTCCCTTTTAGTTTATCCTTTCCAAAACTCCCTTTTTAACCCTTCTTGATGATTTCCCCCATAGACTCTTCACCGCCCGCCTTTCCTTCTTCATCCCTCGCTTCAGCCGCGAAGTCTCGGTCACCGAGCGCGCCCAGAGCAAGCAGGAAGCGAGTCGGCAGTGTGCCCTCAAGATCTGCCAGCAGCTCCTCGCTGAAGGCCTAATGGAGGGCTTCAACCCGACCGCTCCCAGCAAGCGCCAACTAATGAAGAACAACTTCATCTACGAGTTTCTCACCTCGCCAGCGCTTAAGGAGCAGATGATCTCCACCTTTACGATGGTGCAGCAGTACAATGCCACAGTGAACCCGGGCCCCTACGGGTCGACGGGCAACTACAGCGGCGGCCCCGGGGCGGCCAACTACTTTAACCCACTGGCGGGTTCTCGTGGAA